ATAAGATTTGTTTGACAAAACTTCACAATAAAAGAAAAATAGACAATCTAAACATCACTACAACAATCATATTTTATTTTATTTTTTGTAAAATACTCAGTTTATTTACAAGAAAATTTTCAGAATTATTAATTTTCATAGGGAGCATAACATATAAAAAAATTAACCCCAATAGAGACCGAATATTTATTTTTATATTTTTTAAAATGGTAAGTGTATAAAAAAATGAAAATACTTTGACGCAAAATATGATATCTCATGAAATTGATCTCTATTGGAACTATATTTTTTTTCTATATTCGGTTCCATATATAAATGAATAATTCTGAAAATTTTCTTTCAAATATCTCGAGTATTTTAAAAATAAAATAAGATTCTTGGAGTAAATTTTTAGATTGCCTATTTCTCTCTGGTTATGGAGGTTTATTGTATAAATATTTATAGAATCCTTATTTTATAAGCTTTCTATGCATATATCATTTACAATTTTTAAATGTACGGTTTGTGATATATGAATTTTTAAAGTTCGAGAGAATTAAGATTTAAATAAAAGGACATTTTGGTCCAAATATTAACTCTTTTTACCTAGGGGTGTACAAAAATCTGATCAAACTGAAAATCCAAACCGGACCAAACCAGACCAGACAGTTTGGTTTGGTTTACTAAAGGTTTGGTTTGGTCACGATTCTAAATTTGTAAAACTGTAAAGATACGGTTCAGTCACGGTTTGAGGTCTTTTAGGACCGTACTAGACCGAACCGAACTTAACCCTTATGTTATATATATATGTTAAATTATACGACATATATAATATAATATATTTCTACAATTCAAATTACCTAGAAGTTTGTAGCAACTATCAATCTTATGGTCCACTTTTAATTTTATCTCTTATCAATTTATTAGATGACGATTATTTATTTATTTATTTTATTATTATTATTTTTTTGTACAGTGACTGAATTTTGAATTGTAGTTGATTGTTTGTTGTTGAATTAATAATTCTAAATGTATTAGGTCATTAGGAATTTTGAATTTGTTCACTTCAGTTCGAGAAGTGTTAGGGAAGAATGAATTAAAAGTCTGAATATATTAATAGTTTTGAATGTGTTGGTAACTTGGTTTATAGTTGTGCATGTGGATTTTGAAATATGAATACTTGTGTTAAAAATAAAAAAATAAAAAAAAAAATCATGGAACCGAACCGAACTAAATTGATTTTTCATGATTTGGTTTGGTTTGGTTCTTTTGGTCAAATGGTTCAGTTCGGTTTCAAGTTTTATGAATCTGTTAGAATTGGTTTGGTTCTATAAAACTCTTAAACCGGTTTAAACCGAATCGTGTGCACCTCTACTTTTACTCCTTCAGATAGTTGAGGGCGGTTATTTGGTAAAAAATTAGATAAGGGGGGTTTATTAGAAAAAATGATACAAGTCGAGGGGATTCTTTGATAAAAAAAAATAGACAAGAGGAATTTACTGGAAAAGATTACAAATAAAAAGGGTTTTTTGTACTTTCCCCTCTTTCAAAATCACTTTTACTATTTTTTATTAGATTTATGAAACATAAATGATGATGTAAAACTAATATAAATAATCAAAATTTTATTAATTGAACCGGTCAACACCATTACTTCATTCATTAGTAGCATATTATCTTATTTGCCATTCTCAATATTTAATTTTTTTTAGAATTTTTTTGTAAGGATTTATAATTTCTTTTAATTTTAAAAAATTTACTAACCGTCTATTTTTTCTGTTTTTACAAGCGTACTATTAGGATTGAAAACTTTAAAAAGAAATAATGATCTCAAAGTTTACTTTCAATTAATAATAATAATAATAAATCCTTTATATTTAGGTTATTATGTATCAGTTGAGTATAGTAATATCCGAAACCAGTCGAAGCATTGGGTTGCTGTCAAAGCTGTTGCCTTGAGCTTTTGGGGTTGGTTTCGATTAGGGGGTTACTAGTTTTTGTCTTGTCTATGTTTGTAGATATGCTGTGTCTTCGTTGGTTGTTTGTGATGCTTCTCTATGTAAGTGTCATTTGGCTTGTTATTGCCCGGGAAAATATATATATATATATATATATATATACACACACACACACACATACTATGATGTTAGTAATATAGTATCATGAAGTAAAATTTAAAAAATAATCAAAATTTGATTAATTGGACTTATCAAAAACATTGCTTCATTCATCAGCGTAATATTGTTGTACAATCATTGCCAATATTTCTTTTTTTTGTAAAAATTTGAGTAAGAATTTATAATGTCTTTCAATTCGAAAAAAATTAAAATTATCTATTATGTTTTTGTACAAGCATACCATTAGGATTGAAAATTTTAAAGAGAAATATTGATTTATTTTAAATTAATATAAAAATTATTTTTATTTAGATTATTGTTTAGGCATTGAATGTAGTAATTTATACTATGCTGTTTTATGAACATTTTTTAACTTACCGATTAAATTCAAATGTTGACTTTATAGGAATATGATTTTTAAAAACTACCTTTACTATTTTTATTAGATTTATGAAACATAAATGATAACATAAAATTGAAGAAAATAATTAAATTTTTATTGATTGGACTGATCAACACTGTTACTTCGTTGGTTAGCACAATATTTGTATCATTATTTTACTACCTTTTTTTAAGTGCTGGAATAATTATAATATTATTTATATTACATTTGTTTTGTGATTGGAAGATATATAATATTATCTATATTTATATCTATATTATTATTAAAAGTACTAGAATTTGTATCCAATTTTGAATTTCTATGCAATTTTGAGTTTTTATCCTCTATTTATTTATTTTTTAAGAAGTTTTTTAGTATTATTATTTATTTCAATAAAGTGTTTTTATTATTTTTATAAAAGAGTTGCCTTATGTAATTTGGAGTTAGTATTGTTATTATTAAAAAATAAGAGTCTTTAGTTAGATATTTATATTTTACAAAATAGTTTTAATTATACTTTTAAAATAGTTGCCTTATGTAATTTGGAGTTTATTATTATTATTATTATTATTATTATTATTTCTATGAAGAGTTTTATTATTTTTTTAAAAGAGTTGCCTTATATAATTTGGAGTTATTATTATTAAAAAAAGTAGGATAAAAAGAGTAAATTTTATTAATCTTTCTGACTGGATTCTAAATACTCGTGTAAAAAGATAATACAATTGACTTATATAAATATTAAAAATTTTAATTACTCGAAACAAATTACTAATTATTTATATATAAAAAAAAGTTATTTTGTTTCCTGTAAACTTTTTAGTTTACGTATCTTTTATTTTGGTGTTTTACTAGTTTTATTAAGTTCGTGTACGTGGAGAGAGTTCAAGCAATTGGGTAAGTTTATTATATCTTATTATTTTATTAGATTTATATCATTATTGTTTTTGGGTAGGGGTGTAACTTGGGCGGGCCAACCGGCCCAACCCAAACCAGCCCAAAACTTTTGGGGCTTGGGCTTTTAAATTCTCAAATTGGGTCAATTTTCTAAATTACACCTTCCAAATCTTTTGGGGCTTGGGCTTTTAAATTCTCAAAGGTGCAATATATATATATTGCACCTTCCAAATCTTAGTCGTTGAATGATCTTATCAAACAGTTGTTGGTAGCGTGAATCATTTTCTAAAAACCCTAAGCTCCATGGTTGTTATTATCATAAAATTATAAATACATGATTGATTGAAATCTTAAATAAACAGATTTGTTCTTATATATATATATATATATATATATATATATATATGTCTATATATGTTTTCATGTTTCCTATAAATACATCATTGATTGCAATCCTAAATCATGTATGTCTATACATACATGATTGATTGCAATCCTAAATAATTTCAATCTTTCATGTTCCAAGAAAGAAGACTTTTGATCTTTCTTACCTTTTGTTCAAAATCTTTTTAGTTTGATCTCGGACTGCTTGTATATGTATATGTTTGTTTTATGATTTTTTTAGAAAAGTTTTAAAATTAAAGTTTATTTAATAACAAATAAAAATAATTTTTTATTTTTATTTTTATATCTAAAACAAAATAAGATACATTTCATTTTGGTTGCATTAATAAAAATAAAATTAAAATTGGAAGCATAAAAAAAATTGACGTCTTAAAAAAAAAAAAAAAAAAAAAAAAAAAAAAAAAAAAAAACACAAAACAAAATTAGATAGGACTCATTCATGGAAAAAACAAAATTAGATTGGACTTTTTTTAATGAAATCATCAGTTAACTCACTCCTAGAGGCTGATCCCTAATTAATTTCTAATAGACCGATGTCAAAACACTTACAAAACTTTAAGACTTGAGTAAAAAAAAATTAATAATAATAAACTAAAAAAAATATATAACCAGTAACAAAATCTGGTCAAAGAAGTTCAAAGTCAGATGGTGTATTGTTGGACGTGGCTCTAACAAGATTATTGATTATGTATTGAAATTAAAGAAAGGTAATTGATGATGGTGTAAATTACAATAGTTCTGTTTGTACAACTGACCAAAGGAGAAAATAGTTCAAGTCAACAGAAAATATTTTGCCTTCCAATATTATCTACTTCTAACAATTAGTTGACGAGAAGCAATATATTAAGGATGTAGACCTGTTTGCTCCAAAACCATGAACCAGTACTAAAGCAGGGGGATAGAATAACCCTTCCAGTTCATAAACCCGCTCATGTTGAACTTCATAACTTTCAATTTCATGTTTACAAGTGCTTCTTTTCTCCCTCCTTCTCGGGCTTTCAACTTTCACCCACATAGATAAGTTGTATATGACAATGCCCTTGTTGTCGTCCTTTCAGCTTCAACAGCAGTAGATAAGTTGTATATGCCACTGTCTGACCCAACCGTTAATCTTGTTAGAGCCACGTCCCCAACTATATATGTCTTTTAGTTTTTCTTCAATATTAACAGTTGTTGATCTCTGTACGTATTTAATTTTCTGTCATTTGCTTTATATTTAGGGAAAAAAGAGTTGAAAATGGAAGTCATTGCTGCTGCGGTGGGAAAGGTGGTAGAGGTACTTACAGGCCGCTTTTTGGCATTCATGGGCCGCCAAATTGGTTATGTGGTTCACTACAAGAAAAATATCGAGGATCTCGATGCTCAAGTCAAGAATCTTGGAGGCGTGAAGGAGAGGATCCAAGGAAAAGTTGAAACAGCCGAAAACAATGGAGAAGTCATTGAGAAAGACGTTTTGAATTGGCTAACGGATGTGAATAAAAAGGAGGAAGACCTGAACAGATTATTGGCAAACAATGGAAACATCAAGTCATGTTTTGATGTTGGTTCAAGGTATCGGCTTGGTAAGGAAGGTAAAAAGAAGTTGTCTGATGTTTTGGGGCTTATAGAGCAAGCCAACAAGTTTGATACTGTTGGACGCCATGCTCCTTCGGGTGATATTTGGTACACAGCTACCACGAAATTTGAGCAGTTTGAATCCAGAGAATGTGTTCGTAAACAGATCATACATGCGTTGAAAAATGATAAGATTTACAAAATCGGAATACATGGCATGGGAGGTAGTGGCAAGACGAGAATGGCAGAAGAAATTGCCAAACATGCTAAAACAGAGAAGCTTTTTGATGAGGTCGCCAAGGCAGTCTTCTCCCAAAATCCAGATTTGAAAAGAATTCAAGAAGAGCTTGCAGACTGTTTAGAACTTTCATTCAAAAAAAATACTGAAGTTGGGAGAAAGGGGGAGCTGTGCAACAGACTGAAAAATGGGAAAAAAATTCTTGTAATAATTGATGACATTTGGAATGACAAAATTAACCTGGAGGAAATAGGAATCCCATCTAGCGATAATCATATCAAAGTTTTGCTAACCTCTAGGGAAGAAGATGTGTTCAGTCGGATGGGGGTTCAAGAAAACATCCCAATTGGGCTTCTACAGGAACGTGAAGCATGGTACCTGTTTAGGAAAACAGTTGGAGATTTTATTGAAACTTCTCCTGAAGTTTATTCTGTTGCGGAAGAAGTGTGTAGAGAATGTGGTTGTTTACCATTGGCAATACTTGTAGTTGGAGCAGCACTAAGGGAACAGAAACAAAAGCATACATGGGATGATGCACGTGTACAATTGAGAAATTGCAGGGGAGAAAACATCAAGGGAGTGACCAAGGAGTTGTATTCACGCATAAAGTGGAGCTACGAGTTTCTAGAGCACACAGATGCTAGGTCATGCTTTCTGCACTGTTCTTTGTTTCCAGAGGATGCTGAGATTCCAATTGATGACTTGGTGATATATGGAGTGGGAACGAGGTTTCTTTTAGACAGCTCACATCCAATGAAAACAGCAAGAGATAGAACAAGTGTGTTGGTTGATAACCTGAAGAAATCTCATTTGCTATTAGAAGGTAAAAGCAACGACTTTGTTAAAATGCACGACATCATTCGAGATGTTGCCATCTCAATTGCATCAAAAGAAAAAGGATTTCTGGCAAAAACAGATGTCCGAGAGTGGCCAGAGAAAAATGAATATGAATCCTGCAGGGTAATTTCATTGAGGTCCAAACAAATTTGTAAGCTTCACTGTGAATTACAATGTGCAGAATTACGCACCTTGGTATTGGAATGCAACACCTATCGTAAACCTCAAGTTCCAGATAATTTTTTTAAAGGGATGAAAAAGCTAGAAGTTTTAGATTTGTGTTCCGTGCGGCTGTCATCATCACCTTTAAATCTGATCAACCTTCGGATGTTGCGACTCTATAACTGTGAACTGCAGAACCTAGATTTTCTCAAGGAACTAAGAAATCTTTTGATACTAAGCATTGTTGATTCTGATCTGAAAGAGGTGGCTGTGGAAGTAGGGCAGTTGACTAACTTGCGGTGGTTGGATTTGAGCCGTTGTGAAAACATCAAGATCATTCCATCAGGTGTCATAGAAAGTCTATCCAAAATTGAGGAACTGTACATTCCATATGATTTTGGGGAATGGAAGGGTGAAGGGTATGCAAGTCTTGATGAGCTTAATTCATTGACATGCTTAACCACTTTACAAATTCACATAGGAGATGGCATGCTACTGCCCAATGAGCACTGCTTTAATTCCTTAAACAGATTCAAAATATCAGTTGGGAGGACTCAGGGTTTTCGGTTTTATGAAGAAGAATTAGGAGCACGAGTGTTGAAACTTGATGATATTAGTATGAGGAAGGAGTTCAATATTTTGATTGAGAATGCGGAAGCACTTTTTTTACAGAATGTGGAAGGTTTAAAGAATGTGCTTCAATGTGGAGATGGAAAAGGGTTTCTGGATTTGAAATATCTTAGAATCGAGGACTCTAGTGACATGGAACATCTACTTGGCAGTCCAAAATGGAATTTTCAAAGTCACGGTGCTTTCAACAAATTAAGTGTGTTAGATATTAGACGTTGTAGAATGAAATTTCTCTTCCACGTATCCACGGCAAGAGCTCTTCTACAACTCCAAGAATTACAAATACAGGAATGCGAAATCATGGAAGAAATAATTCTAGATGATGATGAGGAAGTAATGAATAATGTTACTTTTCATCAATTAAAGAAAATGGAGTTGTACGGACTACCAAACCTCGTAAGCATATGCTGCACCAATAGGAAGAAAACGTCAAGCACGGATTGCAATACTTCCGACCTTGCACAAGCTTTCTTTAATGAAAAGGTATGCTCTATTGCTCAAAACATATTTTATTCATATACCACTTGGAAGTATACTTGTTGTACATAATTAATTAGCCTATTTCAAAAACTGGTATATGCCTTTGGAGTCTCACTTCTCATTCTCTGAATTTTTCACCCACCAGCATCAAAAGTTTGGGCCTTGGGGCACCATTGGTGTGTTTGGAATCACTATCATTGCTTATATAATACAATACCATGTGAATGTCAACAATCTATATATATATATATATATCTATATCAATGTCAATATCAATATCAATATCTATATTTATATTTATATCTATATCTATATCTATATCTATACTATTTTATTATTCGAAGTAAAAAGAGTTTTAGTATTTCAGAATTTCATTTATTAATATAAAAAATATTAATTAATTAATTAATATAAAAAAAGTTTTAAAAGAATTTCTATAGAACTCTAACATAAATTCTCTATTTATTATGAGTTTTTTAATTATTTTTAATTAATGTAAAATAAAAAATAAAAAACTCAAATTACATATTTATTAATTAATATAAAAGAGTTTATATAAAACTCTAACACAAATTATCATACTAATATTAAAAGTACAGTTTCACTATTTCAGTATTTATTTATTTATATAAAAAATATTTATTAATTAACATAAAAAAATTTATTAATTAATATAAAAAAGATTTTTAAAGGATTTCTATAGAAATCTAACAGATATTTCTATACAACTTATATTATAAGTTGTTTAGAACAATTTCTATAAAACTCAAATTACCTGTTTATTATGAGTTTTATATTTTCTTAGAAGAGTTTCTATAAAACTCAAATAACCTCTTTATTATTTTATTTTTTAAAAACAGTTTCATTTATTTGTTGAATATTATTCATTACAAAAATAAAAATTAGTGAATTGAAATAAAAAATAGTCTTGATTTTGATATTATTTTAGGAGTTTGAAAATATATTGTGACAATTTATATTCATTGATTATTAATAAATATATCAGTGTGATTAATTTAAAGAATTAAATTTTAATTACTATTTCAAAAAATAATTATTTTCTTACTTCGTTGAATATTAATTTTTAAATTAAATTTTACTCATCTAAAAGCATGTATCGTTTTACTAGTAGACAAATGACAAAAGTGGCAATGTGAATTAAATTTTCTCCGTGTCTATTCTTTTCACTTACTTACAGGACTATTTTGAATTAAATCATTTAATATTAATCTTTATTGCATACAAATTCAACTTGGAATTGAAAACTTGAATGAAAAATTAAACGTATTAATTAATTGTTAAATTAAAGAATTTAAAGGTCTTCTTAGTAACAGAAGCCCAAGAAAGCCCATAACCCTAAACCATTTATAGAAATGAATAAAATTTTTAATAGCCGAATATAGGACCATAAACGATTTTTAAAAGCTTCCGCATAGACCCATTTTCCCACAGCTGGGTCCACAACCAAAATCTGGGAACTCTCAGATTCTTGCTACAACCTCTCATTCTTAATTGTTCAGCCTGCACTTCTTGCCTTTGCATTTACATCTTTCTGCAGGGTTTCATTTTGCCTCTTGGGCTTTGGTTTTTTTTGTTCGTTTTGATTTGCTGCCTTCATGCCCAGGTTGTTCATTTTGCTAGATTCACGGTGTTTAAATATAGCTCTTTATATTTTGTTTTCTTGCTTTTGGTTATCACTAGGATTCCTTCAAATGTGCGCACATACACTACGTAAAGAGTTTATGAAATTTCAGTTGCTCCATTTTGAAGGAAGAAAACCATGTGATTAAGTCAAGTTATAGACATAATTTTCTTTTTTCTAGGGAGATTCAAGCAATTTTATATATGGACTAATATTTGCAGTTGGGTTGTAATGGGTCAAAACCCAGCCTAACGGAGGCGCTTGGCCCAAAACATTAAGTAACCTGCCAAATAGGCAGTCCCAATATTATGTAATAGAAGCCCAATAAAGAAGCCTAAACAATTTATAAAAATCTACTTTGTGATTGGGCTTTAAAGCTGATATTTGATCACACAAAGAAAACTTGATTATGAGGTATATGTCTTTCTTATTTTTTAACTTTCTCTTTATATGCTTGGACGAAGTTATGTTAGTTGAAGTATTCTTTTAACGGAAAAAAGTATCACAACATAATTCTTTTCTTGAGTACTTTTTTTCTATCGAAGAAAAAAAAAACAAAAAAGTATTTATAAAAATCTAGAGCACAATTATGATAGATATACATTTACTTTTCCCACACTCAAAATGTAATATATATATATATATATATATATATATATATATATATATACATCTGCCATATAACACTTGTAATAGTGAAGGCGAAGGAAGCTTGTTTGTAAAATTTACGAGCAGCACTAGTTAAGTAAAGAGCTGAGGTTTATTGATATGATGCAAATCTTTTGATCATAATATGATGATTGATGAATTTTGTAGGTTTCATTCCCTGCATTGGAGGAACTAAAGATAAGCGAATTGGAAAGCATTACATGGATATGGGATAACCAATTATTCCTAGCTTCGGAAGTAAAAGAAGAATCATCCTTCCAGCAGCTGAGGGAGATAGAGATAGAAAGATGTCAGAAACTGGTGAATGTGATACCCTCCAATTTGATTCCAAGGTTACAGAATTTGGAAACGGTCGAAATTAAAGGGTGTGAGTCGGTGGTGTCAGCAGTCGAAGTGCTTACTATTGAAAATGGGTCTGCAACATCAATGGAACTACCTCAGTTAAAATCAATGATTCTTAGGTCACTACCTAAGCTGATGCCCCTGGGTTTGAACAGAAAGGAGCATTCTGATCACACACCTAACATTGGTGCCTATTCAAACCTAACATCTCTTAACATTATAGACTGTCATAGTTTGAGAAATGTATTCTCATCATCTATGGCAAGAGATCTTGGGCAGCTACAAGATTTGATAGTAATGGACTGTGAGGATATAGAAGAGATAATTGCAATTGAAACAGGAGAAGGGAAAGATGAGGTAGTGGATGAGGAGATCATTGTTTTCCCTCAATTAAAGAAAATGGATCTTATAAAGTTACCAAATCTCAAAAGTTTCTGTGGACCCAAGAAAGAAGCAGTGGAGGATGACAAAATTTCCCAACTACAATCCCTCTTCAATTACAAGGTACGTATTTCCTAACTCCAATTTAACAAATATGCATCATTCACATTTTTCATTTTTTCTTCTTTTTAGCTCAGTCAGTTCTTTTGTGCATAAATTTATTTCTTAATACATAGAATTTATGTTATTGTTTTATTATCATTTTCAGTTTCCATGTACCATGCAAGTTTATTGAGATAAAAACAAGCGTTTTGTTTTTTTCTTGGAGACTGTGGAATAATATTTGCAGTTGGGCTCTAATGGGCAAGCCCAATCACAAAACCCGTAAACCAAAACAATTTATCGAAATCCATATCCTTGAATTTATTTTGACTTGAAGTGCATGGGCTTTAAGTATTAGCCCTTTTTGCATGCGGCTCCTCTTACATGGTAATACTCAATCGGTGAAGGCCTACACCTTCACTATCACATATGTGGTTGTTATGACACATCATGATTAATAAAAAATAAAATAAAATAATGTTATCCAAAAATTAAATGGACCCACATGACTTCCATTATTTTTATTTTTATTTTTTATTAACAGTCAAATAAGTTGTGTCATAACAAGACTTTATTACCTATGTGCTGAGATGGTATAAGCCCCATGAGGATCAAAGTATTGTTTTTTTTAATAAGAAATTTTATGGTCTAGATACATTTATTTTTAAAAACTTAATTTGCCCTGATATTTTTAATCAAGTACATAATTAAAAAATTATTCTTATTTTGAATGTCAATTAAACACAAATATAGAATGCCTCCTTAATTATCAGGCTTATATCATTTTGATGTTTGAACTTTCTATTTTTATGTTTAGTGAAGTTATGTTGCTTGGAGAATTCTTTTAATGAACTAAAACCATCAAAACATGATTTCTTTGTGAGTATTTTTTTTTTTTTTTTTAATCTAAGAAAAAAGAAGAAGAAGTATTTATAAAAATTTAGGCCACATTTATGGTAGATATACATATACACATATATATGACAAATATATAAGTTGGTCAATCACAAAATAAATTTTTCAATAAATCTTAAACAAAAGACTCAAATTACCTGTTTATTATGAGTTTTATATTTTCTTAGAAGAGTTTCTATAAAACTCAAATAACCTCTTATTATTTTATTTTTTAAAAAGAGTTTCATTTATTTGTTGAATATTATTCATTACAAAAATAAAAATTAGTGAATTGAAATAAAAAATAGTCTTGATTTTGATATTATTTTAGGAGTTTGAAAATATATTGTGACAATTTATATTCATTGATTATTAATAAATATATCAGTGTGATTAATTTAAAGAATTAAATTTTAATTACTATTTCAAAAAATAATTATTTTCTTACTTCGTTGAATATTAATTTTTAAATTAAATTTTACTCACCTAAAAGCATGTATCGTTTTACTAGTAGACAAATGACAAAAGTGGCAATGTGAATTAAATTTTCTCCGTGTCTATTCTTTTCACTTACTTACAGGACTATTTTGAATTAAATCATTTAATATTAATCTTTCTTGCATACAAATTCAACTTGGAATTGAAAACTTGAATGAAAAATTAAACGTATTAATTAATTGTTAAATTAAAGAATTTAAAGGTCTTCTTAGTAACAGAAGCCCAAGAAAGCCCATAACCCTAAACCATTTATAGAAATGAATAAAATTTTTAATAGCCGAATATAGGACCATAAACGATTTTTAAAAGCTTCCGCATAGACCCATTTTCCAACAGCTGGGTCCACAACCAAAATCTGGGAACTCTCAGATTCTTGCTACAACCTCTCATTCTTAATTGTTCAGCCCGCACTTCTTGCCTTTGCATTTACATCTTTCTGCAGGGTTTCATTTTGCCTCTTGGGCTTTGGTTTTTTTTGTTCGTTTTGATTTGCTGCCTTCATGCCCAGGTTGTTCATTTTGCTAGATTCACTGTGTTTAAATATAGGTCTTTATATTTTGTTTTCTTGCTTTTGGTTATCACTAGGATTCCTTCAAATATGCGCACATACACTACGTAAAGAGTTTATGAGATTTCAGTTGCTCCATTTTGAAGGAAGAAAACCATGTGATTAAGTCAAGTTATAGACATAATTTTCATCTATATATATATATATATATATTTTGATAGTTAGGAAGCATTGGATTAATAAGTCCTCCTAGAGCAACAATTATAATTGGTTCAAGAGACATTGTCTCAATAACTTACAAAAATGTAGACCACACTTTTATATTGTAGAAGAATATACATACGCGTATATAAATTCGTCAAGAACTGTTTTGCAATTAATGCTAAATGAAATATGGAGTAATAAATAAATAAAATTTGATCCCAAGTACTTGGTCTTAAGGCTGATAATATTAACTATTTGCATGAAGCTCCTCTTAGATCATGAAGCACACTATTATCAGGCTTATGTCCACTCAGTAAAATTAGCTATTTTTGCATGCGGCTCCTTTTAGATGGTAATATTTTCTCAATTTGTTTTACCCATTATATTTAGCTTTGAAGAAATCTTAATTTATTTTTTTTGTAATTTTTTAACTATTTAATTATATGCTAATTTTAAATGAATGGATAATTCAACATGTTCCATTATTATTATTATTATTATTATTATATGTGCAACTTTTTTAATAAGAAGGACCAATATTATCATTTTGGCAAATATTACTCCTACATGTATAATTTTTTATATGGCTCCAAAAATTTTGGTTTTTAACCTTTAAATCAAGAGCAGACTGTGTGTTAGGTGTTGGTCCATCAAGAGTACATAGAAAAGTTTCCAAAATAGAGCAAGTATAAGCGAGCCTTTTGTGGTTTATAAATTGACGAGTCCAAATTTTTTCTAAACTTGACCTAAACTTAACCCGTATCAAGTACAATAATGATATTATTAAAACTCACATATGATGGAAGAATAAGATAAATTAGAGTTGTTTGATGCTCACCAAGTGATTGTAGTCAAAAATAGTGAAGGGGAATTAAAGAAGCTTGTTTGCAAAATTTAGTAATAATGCTTTGAAATAATGAATTTTGCAGGTTTCATTCCCTGCTTTGGAAATACTGGAGGTAAGAGGATTGAAAAACATTACAGCAATATGGAACAACCTATTATTCCTAGATTCGAAAGCAGAAGAAGAATCATCCTTCCACCAGCTAAGGAACATAAAGATACTTAAATGTGAGAAACTAGTAAATGTGATAATTGCAGGTCAAAAAGGAGGAGGAGGAGGAGGAGAGACTGAGATTATTGTGTTCCCTCACTTAAAGATTATGCAACTTGGAGGGTTGTCAAAACTCAAAAGTTTCTATGAGTCTAAAAAAGCAACAGTCCATAATGACATTATTCCCCAAGCACTCTTCAATTACACGTACGCACTTTTTATATAGTGATCTATATATATATATATATATATATATTAACTCCAAATTAGCAAATATGCAGTATGCATAACTTCATTTCTTAATATTAAGAATTCATGCTAGGAACAAGGAATTCAAGCCATTCAGCCCGTAAAGCTTTAATTCTAAAGAAAAGAAAGGAAAAAATGGGGAAATTCAAGCAATTATTAAATTAAAGATTTCGAATGGCTTCTTAGTCTTCTGTAACAGAAGCCCAATAACATAACCGCGATGGTGAGGTCGAAAAATTCACCCATACAATTAGAATCAAATCCATTCACTTAGGTTAATAAAGCATTCAACTTGTTTAGGAAAAATTCAACCACACAATTATGGTGGAACAAAACAAAAATTAAAAAGAAGACGATCAGTTTTATTCGTCCATGCTAGTCACCTAGTGCTGGTGTTACAGTGCTTCAAGATAGGCTTAGTTGTCCATCGGTAACGAAGAGAATTTGACAAAATATGCAGGCGGTAATTAACATTATCATTACCGTCAACGTCCACCCGCCTTTCCCATAGGTTCTGGCCATGGCAGAACAAACCCAAAATCCAACATCGCAGACCCACGGCGTCCTGTCCTAGTGGAGGTCGTTGTCCATGGCGACGTAGTCGGTGACGGAGATGGAGGTAGTTGATTGGGGAATCAATTTTGGGTTTTGTGTTTAGCCCTAGTTGATTGGGGAATCAATTTTGGGTTTTGCGATGCTGCGGGCGCCCCCATCCTCCTGCCCCGTCAATTGCTTCAAAACCGACCCCTTCTGCGGCAGCCGGAATTTGGCCGGAGATGTCGCCGGAGAAGAAGAACATTAATCGAATCATGGTTTCCAAGGAGAAGTTGGGACCTGGCCAAGTCGCCGGAAAATCTCTAATTTTTTTTTTTTTTTTTTCTAAGGGTAAATGGCAGGAGTTAGTTGATGTGTAGACTCAAACTCATATGCTCCAACACGATACCAACTTAGGTTAGAAGACTTTGGTGAATAATCTCTAATTTGACGATTTATATATATATAATATATATATAGCTGATGGAACAAGATGCAAGGTGGGTGGAGATATTTTTGTAATTTCATAATAATAAATATAAGTTTTAATTTAATATTAAATCATCCATCACATGTATGTAATAATTTGATACCATTTCTTTAGTGGAGAGTTTGAACGAAAATGATAGTAGATAAGTGTTATATGATTTTTTTCCCTTCAAAATAAAAAGAGAATAATACTATCCAAAAATTAAATCGGCCCACTATATTGCTAAATTTCCTAGTTTCTACTATATTAGTTGATTATTAATAAAAATAATTATTTACTTACTTCGTTGAATATTAATTTTAAATTAAATTTTACTCACTTATTTATCCGGTAGTAGAAAAAGGGCAAATGACAAAAGTGGCAATGTGAATTAAATTTTCTCCGTGTCTATTCTTTTCACTTACTTGCTGGACTATTTTAAATTAAATCATTTAATATTGATCTTTGTTGCATACAAATTCAACTTAGAATTGAAAACTTGAATGAAAAATTAAACGCATTAATTAATTATTAAATTAAAGAATTTAAAGGTCTTCTTTGTAACAGCAGCCCAATAACGAAGCCCACAGCACTTCTTGTCTTTGCATTTACATCTTTCCGCTGGGTTTCATTTTGCCTCTTGGGCTTTGGTTCTTTTGTTCATTTTGCTAGATTCATGGTGTTTAAGTATAGCTCTTCATATATTAATTGTTTTCTTGCTTTTGGTTATTACTAGGATTTCTTCAAATGAGCGCACATAGACTGGGTAAAGATAATTACACTCATTCTTTAATTAAGTTACTATTCTTTAATTATACTATTCTTTAATTAAGTTACTATTATCAAGTATGGTAATATTCTATTATTAAAAATTATTATTGTAAAATTAGCAATAAAAATATTTAAAAAAACAATTGTTACAAAATAAATTAAAACTAATTTAATTATGAAAAGTAGCTGCTATTGATAAAAGTGCGCTTTACATTTCAACCGCAACCCCAAAGAGACCAAATTGCACAACACATCAACTTCTTGACTTTTCCAAAAACACAGTCTCCTTAGATGACTGACAGTGGGGGTGTAGTGCTTTTTCTAGCCCAGTTGCTAGTGTGGACCCAAATCCATTCTTCGGGTCTCGTTGGATCTCTCCTCCGGCCCAAGTTGACTATTTGATGCGTTTTTTGGAGGTACAAATCTTTCCATTGGATTTGTTTATTCTTGATAGGATTCATCACAGATTCACAAGTGAGATTCTAATTAAAGATTATTTGTTAAACAACAATTATTTTGATTAATGAATGACTTCATAATGGTAAATTTGATTCTTTCTTATTTTATTTTATTTTATTTATTTATTATTTTTTCCCTGGAGAGATTCAAACAATTTTATATATGGAGACAACATTAAGTAATCTACAAAATTGAATAAACTATTTACCAACTAATTAAATATTGGTATGTGGTATGTGAGACCCATTTAAATACAAACATGCTTGTATTTGCATGAAATGGTAATACTATATTCGTATAGATGAAGTGGTCATAGAGAAATGAAGACTTGAATGTTAATAGAGAGTTTTCTCTTGCTTTCCCTTTTTTCTTTATTCTTTTATTAATAAGGTTAGAAGATTGATGTTTTGCAGGTCAAGTTCCCTTGTTTGGAGAGCTTCGAGTATAAAGGATGTAAAAACAATGTGAAGGAGATATGGGACGGCACGGTTCCAACAGATGCTGTTTGTAAACTAAGAGTGTTGGAAGTGCGTGATTGTAATGAACTGTTAAGTGTTGCTCCATCAAAATTGCTTGGAAGTTTCCACAACCTAGAAGAACTTAGCATATTATGGTGTTACTCCTTGGAAGAGGTATTTAAGGTTGAAGGAGGGTCAAATGCCAAGGAAGGAATGGTTGCAAGAGATACAGATATAGAAAAAGACTCGGAGGACAATCTTGTGTTCCCTCAATTGAAATCTATAAGGTTCATGTTTTTGCCACAGCTGAGGATTTTTTACCGGAGGAGTCGCATTTATGAATTGCCATCCTTAAAACATATGGGAATATTTAAGTGTCTCAAATTGGAAATGTTTCCTTGCCGAGTCACTGCCCCCTTACAATCATTCTCTAAGGAAAAGGTACGCCATATCCTAAATTGAACATGTTTTGTTTTAGAAATGCCAATTATTTAATAGTTAAAATTTATAAATTGACAAAATAAAAAAAAAATAAAAAAAAATAAACTTTTTTTTATAGTTAAAAAAGTCAAGTTGAATGAAGAATACAATGCAACATTAGTTTGTTATTCCTAGCTTCAGAAGTTGGCAAAGCAAAGCACTTTTTTTTGGTCAAATCTTTCCATAAAGGAAAAAGAATTATATATATATATATATATATATATATATAATATTATGATATTACTATATATTATGATATGATATGATTCATATTCAAAAAGGTTAAGAATAAATTAAATTTTATGCACCCCTAACATACTACTTTTGAAATTTGACCATTACTAGTATTATATATATAAATAGGCCTTACGTATTAGAAAGAAGTCATTGCATATCTGCATTGACGCATAGTTTTTGAATGAACCCACGATTTAAAAAATTTATGAATGAACCCACGATTTAAAAAATTAAAAGAAAATTTTTAAAAGGAGAATGTTAAGTGCAGGTGTGACAATATTTATCCTTTGAATATTATTGAGTGTTTTTTTTTTGTTAAATTCACCTGAATTTTATTTTAATAAGAAAGTCCAATATTGAGAAGAAAAAAAAATAAATTGTTAAGTAATATATATTATGATATTATATGATTTTAAAATATAATATCATATTATGATATTATATGATTTATATTCGAAAAGGTTAAGAATAAATTAAATTTTATGCACCCCTAACATACTACTACTTTTGAAATTTGACCATTTCTAATATTATAGTTTAAGAAGAATTATAGTGATCTGCGATATATCCAATGGTATTAAACTTTTGATCCAAAATTACCTTACCTTGCCATTATTGTCTCAAATAGCAGCTTCATGTGGGATGCATGTCCAGCAACCCATCCATCACACTTGAAACTCCTTTTAACTGAAAATTTAATAACAAAATAAGTTTTCTTTAATTGATTTGTCTGTACGTTGCTTTTTTTTCATCAAATTTTACCTGCTTCAAACACTACTATATAATCTGTGTAGGTTGCTTTTCCTGTCTTGGAGGATTTGCAGCTCTCGGATGGGAGCATCTTTGAAGATATTAGGTATGGCCGTGTCCCAGCAGCCTCATTTAGCAAAGTAAGAGAGCTGGAGCTGAATAACTGCAGCGTGCTTAAAGACATTCCTACCCTGCTGCTACAGAGGTTTGAAGCTGTTGAAAAACTCAGTGTGTGGGGTTGTGATTCATTACAAGTTCTCTTCAGCCTTGAAGGACTTGAAGACATCAAAAGAGAAGCCCCTCAAATAACAAAGTTGGACCCCTACCACAACCTAACATCTTTAACAGTTGGATGTTGCAACAGCCTGAAATGTTTATTCTCACTCTCAATCGCAAGAAATCTCACAAATATTGAACAACTGAGTGTTCGTAGCTGTGATGCGATTGAAGAAATAATTAAAAATGAAGATCAAGGTGAAGAGGATGGTGCCATGTATGAAATTGTGTTTCCCAAGTTACAGTCTATGTGCAGCAGCGTGCTCAAGAAAGGAAGGGTAAAATATGGAAATGACATGAAACTTTGATAAGAGATTATATATATATATTCTTTTTCCTACATAGTAGTGACAAACTATTTTTTTTATTATAAATATTATGAAGTTTTATCCACTTGTGTTTAATTCAGGGATTGCGATGTATAAGGATGATGAAGAAACAAGTATTGGCAAAGAAAAAGAGTCTGGAAACCATGATGAAGAAGATATTTTGGCAAATGAGTAAAATTAAGGTAATTCTATCTTTTAATTTTTATTTTTCTGCATCTCACAGGTTTGGGAAGGTGGGGAATCTGCTATTTTTTAAATTTCAAATTGATAATGTGTGCTGTCAAATTTTCATTCAACTAAACTTTTTTAACCTTTTCGAATATGAATCAAAGTAATGTTTGCCAAATGAGTACAAGATAATGTTTGCTGTCAAATCTTTACCAAAGAAGGGGAAAATAAAAAAATCCTTAGATTGTGCTAGAAATTTGATCACTTATTTAACGAAAAAAAATAATAATAAGAAGAAGACGACATTTGGTCACTTAGATTTAACTACATTTTAAGAGGTTTCCTTTTTTTCTTGTTTTTTTCCCCTAGTGTTTTTCACATGGTTGTGGATGGAACTGAGGTTTAAAATTCTGAATTAAACGAACAGAAAGAGGTGGATTCCTTCAACGTCATTTTTACTACCTGAATCACGTTTTGACCATTTCTTTGTGTCAAACTTTATATGTTATGAAAAAAAAATAAAAAAAAATAAAAAAATAAAAAAAACTTCATATATTATGAAAAAAAATGACCACATGGATAACCACATTTTTTCTAGTTTTTACTATATTATTTACCACCTTATTAGGACAGTAGGATTTAGGTTGGCAAATTTGGTGTCTAAATTTTGAGTTTGTAATATATTTTTAGTTTGAATTTAAAAAGTCAGTGTCTAATTAGTTGCTGGATTGATCAACTACTATTTAAAAAAAATAACATACAGGGAATGCATGCATCATACGTATTCACATCCACACTAGATTGGTGAGTAAACATATATGTGTTAGATTAACATAGTTGGTGAATCTGATTGATTTTTTTTTTTTTTCAGTGATCATTTTTGGACAGGCTAGTATTTGGAAGTGGAAGTAATTTTACTACAGTCACCATCCAAGTGACTGAAGTAAAAAGGTGGCGGATCCAATCCTTTGGGTTCTCTCTTGCTACTGCCAAGAAAACATAATGGCCTTCAATTCGAGGGCACCAAATGCTGATATGCAATTTATTTGGGGACACCAAAATTGGAAGTTTCATATATGATTTATTGTTTGTTTTCTCCCATATTCTTTTTCTGCTCGAGTGTGAATACCGTTGGTGTGTTTTGCTGAAGATTGTTTAGCTATGGTTGAAGTGTATTTTATTTATTTATTTTGGTATGGAGTTATGGTTGAAATATGTTTGTGTTACATGATCAGCTGAACCATTTCTAGTGTTTTGTGTGGATGCATGCTTCTTCTTCTTCTTCTTCTTCTTTTTTTTTTTTTTTTTTTTTTTTTTTTTTTTTTATGTAAAAATATATTAGAAAGTGTCCAACAAAATCTGTTCCGCTTCCCCCATCAAAGGATCTTTTTTTTCGCTTTTGCCAAACGCACAACAAACACAGAAGGGTGCCACCCTCCAAAAATCAAGTGCGTGGGATCACACGAAACACCCTCTCCAAGCGTCAATTCGAAGACACCAAACAAGTCAAAAATAAGACTCCACTCACTGAAAATGATGGATGTATATGTATGTTATCTGTCGCCCTCAGATTTTTCAACCGGAGAGAAATGCAACCGACGACTATGGAAAGAGGTCAATTAATTTGTTTTGGAATATCCATCTAACATTGAGTTTTAATGTGTTAGGTCACCTAAGGATGTGCAAGGACTTTAAAGAATTTTAGTCGATCTGCTATCCAATTGTATTAAACTTTTGATCCAAAATTACCTTACCTTGCCATTGTCTCAAATTTTACATGCTTTGTGTGTTGCTTTTATTTCATCAAATTTTACATGCTTCAAACACTACTATATAATCTGTGTAGGTTGCTTTTCCTGTCTTGGAGGATTTGGTACTCTCGGATGGAAGCGTCATCTTTGAAGATATTTGGTATGGCCATGTCCCAGCAGCCTCATTTAGCAAAGTTAGAAAGCTGCAGCTGAGTATTAAATTCAGCATGTTTGAAGATATTTATACCCTACAACTTGTTGTGCCACGAGAATGTCCCAAAATGCGGACATTTATATCTGGACGGAGAAGCACAAATGTAATAGAATTATGTGGACTTGAGTGGGGGCGCAAACAAAAAGTTAGTGGCCTCAATAACTATGTACAACAACTTCTTCAAAAAAGGAAAAGGAAAAGGTAACTATGAGATGTCACAATTTTAATAAAAGATTATATATACATTCATTCTTTTTCTTACGCAGTTGTGGTCCACTATGTTTTTTATATTTATGAACTTTTGTACTCAATTACTACAATAAAATACTCAATTAATGCTCTATTTGACCCGTCTATTTGTGTTTATTTCAGGGAGTACCATGTATAATGATGATGATGATGAAGGAACAAGTCTAACAAGTCTTGGGGAAAAAAATTGAACATGATGAAGATGATATTATGCTCCAGGAGTAATGTAGGGTAACAACGTCTTTTCCATTTTCCCTCTTTTTTTTCTTTCTTTTATTTTTTTTCTCTTTTTGAATCTCACAGGTGAAATCTCATGTGATCCGAGTCAGAATTAAATTTATTTTAGTGGAAATGACGGTGGTGAATAATAATAAGATAATAAGTTTTTAAGCCAAAACAATAAATGATAAATTTTTAATATTGATTCGTAAATTTCAAACTAAAGAAAGCATGTACAAAGCTACAAGGAGCATACCCCTGGAAACAAAGCTTTACAAATAGTAAGAGAGAAATTTGATCACTTAGATTATCCCAACAAATCAAATCAAATCAAATAATCAATCAATAGAATTAATATTCCTAAAAATTTAATTATCCCAACAAATCAAATCAAATAATCAATCAATAGAATCTCCAAATTTTCAACAGAAAAATATTGACAAAAAGATTAGAGATAGGAAATTGAACTCCTTAAAAAGATAAGAAAAAAGATTTTTGTTGAAGTTACTCATAGAGAGAGCCATATATCAACTTGAGCATATTGTGATTTGATTATCAAGGAAGGAAAAAAAGAACAATAAATAGTATTGCATTGTTACAATATATGTATATACTATATATATATTAAATAATGGAATCCAACCTTTATTAAGTTTTATAAGAACATTAAGTATTTAGCGTGGGACAGAGAGCTCAATGTCTTGCAAATGTGATGAAGAATGATTAATGGAGTCAGAAAGCCACTCGGTGTCTTGCAGATGTGATGAAGAATGATTAATGGAGTCAGAAAGCTCATATGCATTATAGTTGGTTCCTTCTACTCCTTCCTGCGGAGAAGATGAGTGAAAAATACTTAATAGAATACTTAAAAATTTATGTAAATTGCTAATGTTACTTGTAGTTGAATGAGATACATATATATATATATAAAATAAAAAATAAAAAAAACCCATAAAATTTGATATTAAATTATAAGCCATCTCCCAATCAGATTTGGATTTGAATGACATTTGCTTACAAGTGAAAAAACAAAAGTGCATTGTTAAGGTAGAAAATAGATAGAGAGAGAGAGCAATTGATTACCTCATTAAACAATGCACTGAGGGAGATAAGAGGTTTTATTTTTTATTTTTAATAATACTTTTCATTTGTTTATTACAACCAAAAAAAAAAAAAAAAACACAATCTCAAAAAAATTGAACAACCAGGGTTGCTAGGTGTGATGCGATTGAAGAAATAATTAAAAATGAAGATCAAGGTGAAGAGGATGGTGAAGAGGATGAATTGTGTTTCCCAAGTTACAGTTTATGGAGCTTTACGACCTACCAAATCTCAAAAGTTTTAGTCGGGCAAAATATGCTTTTAAATTGCCATCCCTATGGAATGTTAGGCTTAAAAGACTAATCGAAATGCAGACATTCACATCTGGACATATAAACACATCGGTGATAAAATTTGATGATGATAACTATGAAGATAAAGAAGTAAGTGACTTCAATAATTATGTGCAGCAGCGTGTTCAAGAAAGGAAGGGTAAATATGGAATGACATGAAACTTTGATAAGAGATTATATATATATTCTTTTTCCTACATAGTAGTGATAAACTAATTTTTTTTTTATAAATATTATGAAGTTTTGTCATGAACTACAGCAAGAAAGGACCCAAGATATTTTGCTAAATGAATAAATTAAGGTAATTGTATCTTTTAATTTTTATCTTTTTGCGTCTCACAGGTTGTGTGTGGATTGGGATGGGGGACTCTCATGTGATTAAACTTTGCTTTTCCTAAATAGAAAGAGGTGGGTGCCTTCTCTCTCTCTCTCACACACACAGAGGGAGAGAGACGGATTCACATAAAATTTTCATTTTAAATTGCATCGTAAATGCTAGCCTTGATGTTAAGTTCCCAAAATGTGATTTTTACTACCAGAATCATGTTTCGACCATTTCTTTGTGTCAAACTTTATATATTATGGAAAAAAAATGAGCACATGGATAACCACATTTTTTCTAGCTTCTACCAAATGATTTTCTACCTTATCAGGACAGTAGAATTTAGGTTGGCAAATTTCGTGTCTAAATTTTGAGTTTGTAATATATTTTTAGTTTGAAATTAAAAAGTTAATATAATTTTAGACACATATAAAGATATATATATATATATATATATATATATATATATAGATATATATATACAGGGAATTTGTGCATCAGATGCATTCATCATTAACTAGTGTTATATTAACTAGTTAATATATTTTTACACATATAAAGATATATTGGTGAGTAAACATCTATGTGTTAGATTAACTAGTGTGCAAGTTCAACACAGGGATTCAACTGACTAGAGATCAAAGTGTTTGGGACCAAGGATCTAGAGAAGTAGATATATGTTTATGGAGCGGACTGAGGGCCTAGAGATTCTAGTGGAGAGTTTGGCTACAGTCTTTGTCCGGAGGTAACTAGGGGTTCTAGGGTTTCGAAACTGTTGACAAGTTGCAACCTTTTTCTCATATAATAGATTTGATCGGTCTGAACTTTGTCCGTGATTTTTTCCCTTGAAATTTTCACCTAAAAATCTCACTATCTATTGTGTTTTTCTGTTTTATATTGCATATTTGACTGTTAGTAATATACTTATTTGGTGAATCAGTGACTTGGTAGCTATCAAGACCTATACTTCTCACAACTCAAGTCTCATGATTTGCTCCATCAATAGTATGCTTTGCAGTTATGTAATATACTTATTTGGTGAATCTGATTAATTTTTTAATTTTTTTTTAGTGTTCAGTTTTGGGACAGGCTGGTAGTACTCAATTTGGAAGTCGAAGTAAGCTCACAACTCATTTGACTGAAGTGAAAAGGTGCCAAATCCAATCCTCTGGGTTCTCTCTTGCTAATGCCAAGAAAGTTTCATATATGACTTATTATTTATGCTACAATGTGTTGGACTTTATTTTCTTCCATATTCTTTTTCTACTTGGGTGTGAATGAACCGTTGGTATGTTTTGCTGAAGATTGTTTAGCTATGTTAAAGTGTATTTTTCTTTCTTTCTTGTTTTCGGTATGGAGTTATGATTGAAGTATCTTTAAGTGTTAGATGTTTTGTTATACATACCTGCTCGATTTTAAAACTCAATAATTATTTATTCAATTAGTTTTTTTATTATGTATTATTATTATGAATTTTATTACTATGTTGCTTACACACAAGTAAATTATATAGGTGTTTTTTTTAATTATACCATAAGGTTATTCAAAAAATATTACTCCTATGTCATAAGGTTAAGTTGTAATATTTAGTTGTGATTTCCCAGTTATTCTATAACTTTATTATGTTAGATGGATACTTCACTTAAAGACTAACGTACAACACATTGATGCAACATTAGTTTAAAGGTGGTTTTTAACCATTGGAATGACCCAATAAACATTTCACATTACAAACTCCATACATTTCCGGTGTGTATAGAATCTATATAAATCACTAAGTACAGTATTGAACAATCACTATGTCCGGTATTGAACATTGTCACCGTAGATTTGATTTTAGACCATACATGAAGAGAAGAAACAGAACATGAATATTAATGAAAGTTTTAACTATGAAAATACTTTTCGCTCTTATTATTGCATACTATGAATATGAGATTATATTATATGGATGTAAAAGCTGCGTTCCTAAATAGTATGAAGATATTAAAATGAAAAACTTGAAGGATTCATTTCTAAAGGAGAAGAAAATCAAGTATTTAAGATTAAAAGATCCATTATGATCTCAAACAAGCTT